GACATGATTAAGATTCAAAAGAAAAGCAAATTTACTTTTTCCGAACTTCACAGTATTACCACACCTACTTCTCTAATGCACTGGTATGCGTTGATTGGATGTGTTGTCCAGGCTTTTTATGAGAGTAAGAATGATTTTGACGCAAGACTAGTAAAAAAATTGAAGGAAGAACTAAAGACTGATGACAGCTTGAATAAACAGATTATTATAATGGGTTTAATGTCTCGATCGCTCTTGATTTGTGGTAAAATTGAGGCATCTATTCATTGTGCTGATAAAGCTATCAATTGTGCATCTTTACGAAAAAATAAACAAACGGAGACTATAGAAAAAGATTTGGTGATCAGAGGAATTGTGAAAGATGTTCAAGATTTGGCAGAGTTTTGCGTCGGATGGATTGTTTTAGAAACAAGAATTATTGTACTAGGAATTGTCGGAAATTTGTTATTAAAAAATAAGGTTAGAACATTACCAAATGCACTGGATGAACATCTAAGATCTTCCATTGACATTTTGGCTCGTTATCTGCGTCGATCGACAAAATCTGACGCATTTGATAAAATTCCAAAATTACGAGAAAGATTTATAAGGAAACTTGATGCTCTCGGAAGGATTGTATCCGGCATCGATGAAGATGATAATTCTGGGTGTGACAGTGGCGATTACGATAAACAAAACAATAATGAGTACAAAGCCATAAGAGCCTTACATGTCTTAAGGGGCATGTAAACACAAAAATACTTCTGTATTTCTATTAAGCGTTTTGTTATGTATATATTCTTTTTCTCTGTTTTAAAAAATTATGGGGTATAAGTTAAAAGTGAAGTTTGTATATATTTTCGTAATAAGTACCCGTCTCATTCTTATATACTCAAAAATAAGGACCCGAACTTTATTATACTCGAAATAAGCACAACCTCTCCCCTTCTCGATGGACTCGAAAAAAACACATTCCTTTTTTACATACCCGAAAGAAAACGCATTTTCATTTTAATATACTCGAAAAAAAAAGTGCATTCTCGTCGTAAAAAGCGTATTCCCGTTTAAATATGGTCATTATCAACCAAGATTCAATTTCGTATCTAGATAAATAACCAAAATTTAAATAATAAACGAGCGTTAATTGAATCATTAAGATAATATACTGTAAGCACTTCAATTTACAAGATATTTTATTAAGCAATTTCAATGTCAGAATTTACAGGAATACCTATATTTTTTTTCTGATTATTTTTTTCTCCCTATTAAAGTAGCTTTGTCGGCAGACATTTTCTTATCTTTTTATATTTCTTTTTTTTATATTTTATTTTATTTTATTTTATTTTGTAGTCTAAAGTTTGACGTTTCGGATTAGATACAGTATATCGTAATTCTTCCTTTGCTGTCTTTGGCAGTACGAGAAACAAATAAATTTCGCGTGGAATTTTAGGGTGAAAAAACCCGATTTTTTCTTATAACTCATGTACAGTATAACTATTTGTTTCGTCTTGATAATTCGTTCACTTCTAAAATGAATATCTAGCCCATGGATTAGTCTGGGTTTTAAAAATTCGGGTCCATATAAGATTGGATCAGGCTCAATTAAATAATGGAACCCTTCAAAAGCCCATAGATAATCTTTATTTTTAGCCTATTTTGTCAAAATTATCTGTTAATTGACAAAAAATTATACGTATTTGGAGTGTTAAATGCACTATGTAAATCAAATTTATGTATAGTCTCAGTGAAAATCACTATTGGATTTTTTGTGTAACGAGGACGATGATTTATATTAAACTCAAATTTCGGCAAATTTTATCAAATTTATTATGTATATATCACTTTTTTAAAAAAAGCGCTCTTTTAGTCTGAAATATAGGTTCTGCAGAACACTAGAGTAAAATTTTTAAAGAAATTAATACGTAATATTTACTGAGGAGATACAATTTGAAATTTGATAATTTTTTATAGTCGTTTCATATAAGATTTTTAAACTTCAAATTGTATCTCCTCTGTAAATTACATATTAACTATTTTGAAAATTTTGCTTAATTGCTCGGCAGAACCTATATTCTAAACTAAAAGAGAGATTTTTTAAAAAAAAATTTTCACCAAATTTTTATTTAAATTTATTGAAATAACCTATTTGTCGCGGGCGGTGATGGCATCCGGATTTCATTTATAATTACATTTAGGATTAGAAAGGTCATAGCATGTAGTAAAATTATGCAAGGAGTATTTTTTCTTAAGTCACGGAAGTTGATTTTATAGACATAATTTTGAGTTTTTTTTGATTTAAAAATTGAGATTTTTGTAACTGCCGGTGACAAATAGATTCGCCCATATTTTATTAACAATGATCAAGTAGTTTACTCATATGGGACTATACATAAATTTGATTTACATAGTACATTTAACACCCCACAGTTACGACATAACAGATAAGCTTTAGCTAGTTACGGTTTAAGTCGTAACATCATTGGGACTACTCATGGCAAAACTTGATAAAGATATATATTACTACGCGTAACTACGTCATGGGGTTATATTGTTTATATTTTTGAAGCTTAGACTAAATTGTAAAAATATAAGAAACTGTTTTTTTATATTTAGTTAATTCTAGCATTTGACATTTATTGTCGCAGATCATAATGAAATCAGATTAAAATGAAACTGGGACCTTTCTTGCTCATCTTTAAAGCTTATAAAACCCACTTATACTCTTTTATTAATAAAACTAACTCTAAGCCCTAACCCTAACCCTAAAAAATGTCCCCCAAAAAATTTTAAATTTTTCTAAAAAAATAGAAAAATTTCATTTCATTTTAATCTGCCACATTTATTGTGTAGTGTTTTAAAAGCTGATTATTCTCGTCTTCAATCCCTAAAACCTCATTAACAATATTCGATGCTTTAAAGTCCATAATTCCACGACCTTTGCTTGCTGTCGGTTTTGTCTTGCCAACATTTTTGCCTGTCTTGTGGACAACTAGAACATTTAATGGCTAAACGTGATTCCATTACGATTGGCATTCCTCTTTGCCAATGCTTAGAACAATGTATGCATCGAATGTAATAGTGTTTTTTTCAATATTTTTTTAACAATATACAGTATATATATATTATATACTAGTTTATCGTTTTTATTTTAACAGTTTTAACTATAACAGGTCGAAATTTAAGATTTCTGTAAGATACAAGATATCAGCAGAATATCGAACGTTAAAAAGTTGATAACTCACTGATTTTTGACGCGTATCTCTGTCTCTACCTATCAGAATAATATTACTTCCAATAGGCCTATCAGATATTCTATATTTTTTAATAGAAGTATCGAATATCTGATAGAGTGATATTCTACTGAGATCAGTGAATTATCTGCTTTTTTGAGATATTCTGCTGATATCTTACAGAAACCTTACAGACATTTTAAATTTCGACACATATATATATACTAAAATCAGTTTTATATGGGACAAACCCTAAAAAATAATTGCGTGTAGAATTGTACCAGATTTTAAATATGCTAATATGTGCAAAATTTTTTTACCATTTAATCATGCACTTAGAGATACATTAGATGTTCGGCCAAATTTCGAATCATTGGGACGTTCCGTATTAAAACTTAGTTATATAATAGATATTTACGGGCTGTTGTTAATACATTGGTTCATGACGCACCGTGAAATATCTTTTATATCTATGCCCGTAATATTTCCGATTAAAATTTTTACTGATAATGTCGTGACCGTGAAAAAATTTTTGGTATTTTCACGGCATTACGTATTTATAAAAATATCATCAGAAATGTTCATGGGAACTATGGGATAAAAGTTTTATTACGTATATCGATCGATATATATAAAATAATTTGGAATAACTATACATTGTATATTTTTTAATAATCACTAAAATTTAGGGTTCGTTTTACAAACCCGTGTAAACCCAATTCCGAAAACCCGACGATATGATTCCGATAAAGTATAAACTTTAAGCCTGATGTCTAGTTCTTAGCTTCTATAATTTAATTCAAAAAATTGTGGGTCAAGGCCCCAAATTTCAATATCAGCCAATTTTAATATTAGCTACAACAATTGTTAATATTCAATGAATATTCAGTGAATATTCGAATATTCATTCATTCAATTTTGAATGAATATTCGAATACTTATTTTTGACTGAGTAAGAACTCTAACTACAGTATCCAGTGTATTAGAGAAGTAGGTGTGGTAATACTGTGAAGTTCGGAAAAAGTAAATTTGCTTTTCTTTTGAATCTTAATCATGTC